TCTCCCCTCAGTTTTGAGTCATTTCACCAATTCCCTCCTCTCTTCTCTCTGTTTTGAGTCATTTGACCAATCCCCTCCTCTCTCCTATTTGTTTGGAGTCATTTGTCCAATCCCCTCCTCTCTCCTATTTGTTTTGAGTCATTTGACCAATCCCCTCCTCTCTCTCTGTTTTGAGTCATTTCACCTATCCCCTCCTCTCTCCTCTTTGTTTCGACTCATTTGACCAATCCCCTCCTCTCTCCCCTCAGTTTTGAGTCTTTTCACCAATCCCCTCCTCCTCTTTGTTTTGAGTCATTTGACCAATCCCCTCGTCTCTCCCCTCTGTTTTGAATCATTTGACCAATCCCCTCGTCTCTCCCCTCTGTTCTGAGTCATTTGACCAATCCCCTCTTCTCTCCCCTCTGTTTTGAGCCATTTGACCAATCCCCTCCCCTCTCCCCTTTGTTTTGAGTAATTTGACCAATACCTTCCTCTCTCCTCTTTGTTTTGAGTCATTTGACCAATCCCCTCCTCTCTCCCCTCTGTTTTGAGTCATTTGACCAATCCCCTCCTCTCTCCTCTTTGTTTTGAGACATTTGACCAATCCCCTCCTCTCTTCCCCCTGTTTTGAGTCATTTGACCAATCCCCTACTCTCTCCCCTCTGTTTTGAGTAATTTGACCAATCCCCTCTTCTCTCCTCTTTGTTTTGAGTCATTTGACCAATCCCCTCCTCTCTTCCCCCTGTTTTGAGTCATTTTACCAATCCCCTACTCTCTCCCCTCTGTTTTGAGTCATTTGACCAATCCCCTCATCTCTCCTATTCGTTTTGTGTCATTTAACCAATTCCATCCTCTCTCCTCTTTGTTTCGAGTCATTTCACCAATCCCCTCCTCTCTCTCCTCTTTGTTTTGAGTCATTTGACCAATCCCCTCCTCTCTCCCCTCAGTTTTGAGTCATTTCACCAATCCCCTCCTCTCTCCTCTCTGTTTTGAGTCATTTGACCAATCCCCTTCTCTCTCCTCTTTGTTTTGAGTCATTTGACCAATCCCCTCCTCTGTCATATTTGTTTTGAGTCATTTGACAAATCCCCTCCTCTCTCCCCTCTGTTTTGAATCATATGACTAATCCCCTCCTCTCTCCCCTCTGTTTTGAGTCATTTGACCAATCCCCTCTTCTCTCCCCTCGGTTTGAGCCATTTGACCAATCCCCTCCTCTCTCCTCTTTGTTTTGAGTCATTTGACGAATCCCCTCCTCCCTCCTATTTGTTTTGAGTAATTTGACCAATCCCCTCCTCTCTCTTTGTTTTGAGTCATTTCACCTATCCCCTCCTCTCTCCTCTTTGATTTGACTCATTTGACCAATCCCCTCCTCTCTCCCCTCAGTTTTGAGTAATTTGACCAATCCCCTCCTCTCTCCTCTTTGTTTTGAGTAATTTGACCAATCCCCTCCTCTCTCCTCTTTGTTTTGAGTCATTTGACCAATCCCCTCCTCTCTCCCCTCTGTTTTGAATCATTTGACCAGTCCCCTCCTCTCTCCCCTCTGTTTTGAGTCATTTGACCAATCCCCTCTTCTCTCTCCTCGGTTTTGAGCCATTTGACCAATCCTCTCCTCTCTCCTCTTTGTTTTGAGTCATTTGACTAATCCCCTCCTCTCTCCTCTTTGTTTTGAGTCATTTGACCAATCCCCTCCTCTTTCCCCTATGTTGTGAATCATTTGACCAGTCCCCTCCTCTCTCCCCTCTGTTTTGAGTCATTTGACCAATCCTTTCTTCTCTCCCCTCTGTTTTGAGCCATTTGACCAATCCCCTCCTCTCTCCTCTTTGTTTTGAGTCATTTGACCAATCCCCTCCTCTCTCCCCTTTGTTTTGAGTCATTTGACCAATCCCCTCCTCTCTCCTCTTTGTTTTGAGTCATTTGACCAATCCCCTCCTCTCTCCCCTCTGTTTTGAGTCATTTGACCAATCCCCTCCTCACTCCTCTTTGTTTTGAGTCATTTGACCAATCCCCTCCTCTCTTCCCCCTGTTTTGAGTCATTTGACCAATCCCTTACTCTCTCCCCTCTGTTTTGAGTCCTCTGACCAATCCTCTCCTCTCTCCTCTGTTTTGAGTCATTTGACCAATCCCCTCCTCTCTCCTATTTGTTTTGAGTCATTTAACCAATTCCCTCCTCTCTCCTCTTTGTTTTGAGTCATTTGACCAATCCCCTCCTCTCTCCCCTCTGTTTTGAGTCATTTGACCAACGCCTCATCTCCCCTCCCCTCCCCTCTCCTCCCTCCCTCCCTCCCTCCCTCCCTCCCTCCCTCCCTCCCCGTGTTTCAGCAGCTGCCAGCGGGGCGTGACAGTGCAGCACGGGGCGGGGCAGGCTGACGCGCACGCCCACGTGGTAAGAGCAAACCAGAACAATGCATGAATGTATGAACACAAAAGCAAAACAATGTACTAGGGCACATAAAAATCATGTGCCTTCTCATTCCCTCAAGGTGCCTTGCCGTTCCCTGCATGATGCCTTCTCATTCCTTGCATGATGCCGTTTTCCTCCCCTTTCCAGCAGGTGCCAGTGCAAGGCATAATGTTTTGAGGTGTCACACTCAACACCTCCCCTCTGTCCTCCCGTTTCCAGCAGGTGCCAGTGTAGCGCATGTTGATTGAAGAGGTCTCACTCACCCCGTCCCCTCTTTCCATCCCAATATTTCCTGTTTGTTTGTTTGTTTGTTTGTTTGTTTGTTTGTCTGTTTCAGTTTGTTTTGCTTGCTTGTTTGTTGTTCCTGTGTGCATTCTTTGCTCAAGGGGGGGGTGTAAGGGGGCATGGGGAACTGTGAGACGTCCAAGCCACCCTCTCCCCTCCCCTTTCTGCCAGCTGCCAGTGCAGCGCCTGCCCATTTGAGCTTGTCTCACCCACCCCCTCCCCTCTTTTCCCACTTTACCCCTTCTGCCAGGTGCCTTCTCATGCCCTGCAAGGTGCCTTCGCATGTTGCACGGTGCCTTCACATGCCCTGCATGGTGCCTGTTCATGCCCTGGCTGGTGGATTGCATTCCCTGCATGGTGACTTTCATTTCCTGCCAGGTAAGGGGGTAAGGGGGTTTAGGGTGCTCCCCCTGCTCACTTGCCCTGCTCCCCCCGCTCACTTGCTCTGCTCCCCCACCCCAACTCCTCCCCTCCCCTTGCGCAGGTGCCAGTTTCTCCTGTCGCCAAGATGAAGATACTTTGCACAGGGAGCAGATGCGTTGCCAGCTGCTTGTGCGGCCGTCCCTCATCATCCATGCGCGGGACATGAGAGAGAACAAGGGAGAGAAACAGAAGCAGGAGGAGGGAGCGCAGCGCCATGCCATGCTGCATGGCCCACCAAACCGGCCCCAGGTGCGTTGTGAGTCGCCCCAGAGCATGCACTGCACACCTTGCCATATCCCTCACACCTGCCATCCCACCATGCCCTCACACCTCCTGCCATCCCCTCACTTGCCCTGCTCCCCCCGCTCACTTGCTCCGCTTCCCCTCTCCCCCACCCCAACTCCCCCCCTCCCCTTGCGCAGGTGCCAGCTTCCCTCCTGTCGCCAAGACGAAGACACTTGGCTTGCAATGTGTAGAGTGGTAGGGATTGATGAATCTGATTACGTTAGGAACATAAATGTATGAGCCTGTTATTATATGTGCAGGGGGATGGGGGGAGTGCAGGTTTGGTTTGGGCCAGGTTTGGGATATGAAAGAGTGGCAGAAACGGAATCAGGGAGTAGATGTGTTGCCACCTGCTTGTGTTCAGCCATGCGCAGGGCAGGACATGAGGGAGAAGAAGAGAGAGAAACAGACGCACAAGGAGGGAGCGCATGTGCCATTTTCTTCTGTCTACAACACGAGGCTATTTGCTACGACGCGTAGAGTGATAGATGACTTATAGATTTGATGACCTAGCGAATATGAATGTATGTGCTTGTTATTATATACGCAGGCGGGCAGAGAAAGGGGGGAGGGGTGAGGGAAAAGGGAGGAGAGTGGGGAGCAGAAGCAGAACAGAAGAGGGAGTGGTGGATGAGCTCTTGGCTCTCTGTGCTGTGCGCCCATCCCTGGTTGGCCATGCCATGCCATGCCATGCCCGGGAGGGATATGATAGATAGTAGGAAGCACAAAGTAGACGCAGAAGCAGGAATGTGATATGACAGGGAGCAGATATGCATGGGCCATGCCCAGGGATTTCCAGGGCGGTTCGAGGGGGGCTGTGAGGGGCTGTGAGGAGAATTGGGGGGTAGGGGGGCCTTAGGGGGGCCTTGGGGGGGCTGTGGGGGGGTTTTTTCAGGATTTTAGGGGGGTTTTCTTCCCCTCTCTTGTACCCCATTTCTGCTTATTAACCAATCACAAGCAAGCTTTCTGCCATCACCTTTCCGATTACGCTCATGTTGTCGCCTTGCCGCCTGAGGAGGGGGAGGGGAGTAAGGGGGGAAGGGAGAGGAGAGCAGAAGGGAGAGCAAGGGGGGATGAGAGAGACGATATGCGCTGCTTGTTTTGATTTGCACACAGAAGGAGAGTGTGAGAAGGAGAGTGAGAGAAGGAGGGTGTGAGAAGGAGAGTGTGAGAAGGAGTGCCATACAGTGAAGTACTCGGGTATCTTGGGCACTGCAAAGCAGAAGCGTTGCAAGGAATGTGATCAAGATGATCCAGGTGGTCCGGGGCCCTCCTCCTGAAATACGTATGTCAAGATGTTGACCAGAGTGGGAGCCAGGGCAGTGTATGTAAGGGGTGGTGTATGTAGGGGTGGGCAGGGCAGGTGCAAACGTAGGGGATAATGAGTGACAGAAACTGAAGGGAGAGTGAGAATTGAATCAAAGAGGGGGAGAAAGAAGAAAACTGGCACAAGTTCACTACAGGTAGGCAGGATAAGTGACCAGCACAGGGGGGTGAAGTGACAAGGGCAGGGGGGTGAAGTGACAAGGGCAGGGGGGTGAAGTGACAAGGGCAGGGGGGTGAAGTGACAAGGGCAGGGGGGTGAAGTGACAAGGGCAGGGGGGTGAAGTGATGAGACGTGCTTTCCTCACACCCACTGCCCCACACCCACTGCCCCACACCCACTGCCCCACACCCACTGCCCCACACCCACTGCCCCACACCCACTGCCCCACACCCACTGCCTCACTCCCACTGCCCCACACCCACTGCCCCACACCCACTGCCCCACACCCACTGCCTCACACCCACTGCCCCACTGCCCCACACCCACTGCCCCACACCCACTGCCCCACACCCACTGCCCCACACCCACTGCCCCACACCCACTGCCCCACACCCACTGCCCCACACCCACTACCCCACACCCACCGAGTGGCTGACTGCTGGGTGGCCTTGGCATGCCGCAGCACCGCCTCTGCCAACTCACACGGCGACACCCTTCCCTGCTCTCCCCCTGCCTCCCCTTATCCCCCTCCTTCCCCCCGGCCTTATCCCCCTCCTTCCCCTCCTTGTCTCCTTCACCCTTCTCCTCCTCCTTTTCCCCTTCCTCCGTCTTCCCCACCTCCTCCTTCTCACCCTCCTCCTCCTTCTCCTCTCCCTCCTCCAACTGCTTTCCTCCCTTCTCTCCCTTCCCCCCCTTCCTGGCATCCTCTCTAATCCTCACGAACAGCAGTGCCTTGCACCCAGACTCCACACTCACGAACCGAGGCTGAGGGACGTCAAGGGGCGGGCGAATGGTAGGGGCAAGGGGAGGGAGAAAGACGAGTGGAGGGAGAAAGACGAGCGGAGGGAGAGGAGACGTGATTGGAAATTGCACTGAGCATTCTCACGAACAGCAGCGCCTTGCACCCAGAGTCCACACTCGCGAACCAAGGCTGTGGGATGTCGAGGGGAGGGCGAACAGCAGGGGCAAGGGGAGGGAGAAAGACGAGCAGAGAAAGGGGAGTGAGAGGGAGAGGGAGGGGTGATGATGGATCCTCAGAAACAGCGGCGCCTTGCACCTAGACTCCACACTCACAAACCGAGGCTGAGAGGGAAGGGGAGGGACAAGACGAGGGACAAAGGAAAAAAAAAAAAGTTTTTTCTCAAACAGCAGTGCCTTGCACCCAGACTCCACACTCACAAACCGAGGCTGAGGGATGTCAAGGGGCGGGCGAACAGGAGGGGCGAGGGGAGGGCAAACGGTAGGGGCAAGGGGAGGGAGAAAGACGATGGGAGAGAGAGGAGGAGCGATAAGGGTTTCCACTTAGCATTCTCGCAAACAGCGGCGTCTTGCAGCCAGCAAGAGTCCAAACAGCAGCGCCTTGCAGCCAGCGAGACTCCACACCCCGAAGTGAGACCAGGTGAGAGCGTTCAGTCAGGTGACTTTTGAGTCGACTCAAAAGTCACCAGGTGAGAGCGTTCAGGACAAGGGGAGGGACAAGACGAGGGGCAAGGGGAGGAAGAGGGAGGGAAAAGAGGATTGCGAGAGAGGGAAGTGATGGGTGTTTGTGCTGGGCATTTATGCGAACAGCAGCGCCTTGCACCCAGACTACACACTCATGAACCGAGGCTGAGGGGCATGCACAAGGAAGTGAGGGAGAAGAGAAAGGAGGGAACAAGGAGGCGAGGATGCACAAGGGGAACAAAACAGGGGCACCTGGTAGCCTGAGACGTCTCAAAACAGGGGCACCTGGTAGCCTGAGACGTCTCAAAACAGGGGCACCTGGTAGCCTGAGACGTCTCAAAACAGGGGCACCTGGTAGCCTGAGGTCACGATTGCAATCGAGCCTGGGGGACACAGGGAGAGGGAGGGATACGAGGGGAGGGAGTGGGAGGGAGATAAGGGGAGGGTGAAGGAACAACAAGGGGAAAGGAGGGAAAAGGCACCCACCTACCCATCCCACGCACCTGTGAGCCGCTGCAAAACACACACACCTGTTTCCTCAACCCCCTCTCCACACGCACGCACCTGTTTCTTGAGTGCTGCCACTTCATTCGCCAGCAGCGCATCGATGGACGAACCCCCCTTCGCCTTCCCTGCAGATGCACCTTCCCCAGTCCGTGCCTCCCCCTCCCCCTCCCCCTGCGCCTTGCCAGCCTCCAGCTTGTCACACCACTGTGTGTGGGGCAAACAGGGATAAAGCAACATCATCTCAGTCAGATAAGCCCTCCCCAGCCACCTTCCCCAGTGCTTGCCTCCCCCTCAGCCCGCACCTTCATGGGCACCAGATTGTCGCTCAACGGTGTGTGGGGCAAGCAGTGGAGATGGAAGGAGTAGGAACAACATCAGCTCAGTTAGAAAAGCCCTCCCCAGCCACCTTCCCCAGTGCTTGCCTCACCCTACCCGTTCCTCTGCGCCTTGCTGCCTCCAGCTTGTCACACCACTGTGTGTGGGGCGAACAGAGGAGAAAGCAACATCAGCTCAGTCAGATAAGCCCTCCCCAGCCACCTTCCCCAGTGCTTGCCTCCCCCTCAGCCCGTGCCTTCACGGGCACCAGCTTGCCGCCGCACAACGGCGTGTGGGGCAAGCAGGGGAGATGGAAGGAAGAAAAGCAAAAACAGCTCAGTCAGATAGGCCCTCCACAACCACTTTCCCCAGTGCTTGCCCAGTCATCTATCTACCTCCCCTCCAGGTTCTATCGTTTGCCTGTGCGCCCCACTCACCTCCTTGCCACCTCACCTCATCAAGCTGATCCCCTGTGCATGTCACCTCACAAGCTGATCTCCTGATCACCTCTTACCACCCCCCCCACCCCTCCTCTCCCTCACTGTGTGCTCGTGCCTCACCTCATCGAGCACGTTCACAATCTCCTGCCCGCACTCTCTCTCCCTGCCGGTCACACTCGACACCAGCCACCCCCTGCTGCCATTCGCGATAGGGCCCGCTCCCCCTCCACTCTGAGGCGCACGAGAGGGAGGCGCCGAAGAGGGAAGGAGGAGGATCAAAGGAACAATTTACTTTGTTTCGACTCCAACAACAACAAGCCCGCACTCTCTCTCCCTGCTGGTCACACTCCACACCAGCCACCCCCTGTTGCCATTCGCGATGGGGCCCGCTCCCCCTCCACTCTGAGGCGCACGAGAGGGAGGAGCAGAAGGGGGAGGGGCACGAGGGGGAGGGGCGGAGCAGAAGGAGCAGAGGGGGGAGGAGCAGAAGACGGATGAGCAGAGGGGGGAGGAGAAGAATGGGGAGGAGGAGAAGGGGGAGGAGGAGAAATGGGGGAGGGGAGAAGGGTGAGGAGGAACAGCAGGTGGAGAAGGGAGAGGAGGAGAGGAGCAGAAGGGGGGGGAGCAGAAGTAAGAAACGGTTGCAAACCACCTCCAATCCCTCCCCCTGCCAGCCCCCTTGCTGCCATACATTCTGGGCGCCGCCTTCCCCCCATTCTGGATCATAGGGTTTAGGGTGAAGGAGCAAAGGAAGAAACAATCGATCCTTCACCTGCACTCTCGCTCCCTGCCTGCTGCTGCCCGCCGCCACTTCGAAAGAGGAGATCGAGGTTGGGGTTTTGGGTGCATGGGAGAGAGCGAGCAACAACAAAGGGTTTCGGGTTTTGGGTGCATGGGAGAGAGCGAGCAACAACCAAGAGTTTCGGGTTTTGGTTGCATGGCAACGGAGATTCGTGGGCCGGGATGTGGGAGGGAAGAGAGACGGCGGGGGTGGGGGGAGGGGAAGGGGGACAGCAGGGGTGGGGGGAGGGGAAGGGGGACAGCGGGCGACACGGGCCGGACGGGTGAGGACCAGAGGAGAGAGGCGACGGCGGGAAAATCCGCTCTGTGTAAGACCAAGTGCTCAAAGCGATATCAGGACCAGAGGGGAGAGGCGACAGCGGAAAAATCTGCTCTGTGTAAACCTAAGTGATCAAGGCGATCTCAGGACCAGAGGGGAGAGGCGGCGCCGTGGGAGCACACGATGGGAGGAGGAGAAGAGAAGGGGGGAGGGAAGACGGAGGTGTGTGCGCGAGCGGGAGGAGAGGGCACGAAAGGAAAGGGGGGGAAGGGGTTGAAGAGGAAGGGCGGGAAGTGGGGCGGATCGGGCTGGTGAGCGCACGCCGCCGCGGAGATCACAGCGGCGACGCCGCCAAGATCATAGCAGCGGCGACGCGCAACGGATGCTGCCGCGACTCGCGACCGAAACGCGACTGAACGCGCCTGCAGAATTGTCGCTGATTATCGTCGTTATTCGTCTGTCAGCCAAGAAAAACATTGGTACACGCCTGCCGGGCGGTTTATGTTGACTAATGCGTCGCGACATAAGTTTAAAGGCTCACAGCGTTCAGGTATCGCGACTTGTGCCGCTTCGATTTCCCCCGACCTCCATTACCGCTCCGATTGCCCTCCGCCTCGCGCTTTCCGCGACCCATGTGCGATTGTATGGCCGTGGCTACCGATCAAACGAGGGAAACGGTCAGGGGCTGATGTTTACAACAAAAATATTTAACAACTCATTCAAATTCTTCTCAGGATCAGTAGCACAAGCCTCCAATTAGATGATTAGCGGGGTTCAATACCCGCCTGATTCTTTTGTTTTATCCACCTCAAGGCTCCGTTTCCATTCAAATCTTATCTAAAGGTGTTTTCTTACTGCTGTGGGGCATTCTTCTTTCATATCATACTCGTCGTCGCATCCCTTCTTGTTGTAAGCCTTAACCATCTTGACTGGTTTTTTCCGGACGTGCTTGTCGTCTACACCTTCGTTGTGTTGCTTCGTTGGTGTAGGAGATTTTTCTTTACTGGCACACCTCGACCACCACACTGGCACGCCCCATGCCCTGTCACCTCACCCATGTGCTCTATAGCAGGGCTACTGGCGTCACGCCCCACCACCAGCACCAGGCTATCAGCAGCGAGTCCAGCACCCACACACCCCGTGCCCTGCTCTGCTGCACCACTCACCTGCTCTGCTGCACCACTCACCTGCTCTGCCGCACCACTCACCTGCTCTGCTGCACCACTCACCTGCTCTGCCGCACCACTCACCTGCTCTGCTGCACCACTCACCTGCTCTGCCGCACCACTCACCTGCTCTGCTGCACCACTCACCTGCTCTGCTGCACCACTCACCTGCTCTGCTGCACCACTCACCTGCTCTGCCGCATCACTCACCTGCTCTGCCGCACCACTCACCTGCTCTGCTGCACCACTCACCTGCTCTGCTGCACCACTCACCTGCTCTGCTGCACCACTCACCTGCTCTGCCGCACCAATCACCTGCTCTGCCGCACCACTCACCCGCTCTGCTGCACCACTCACCCGCTCTGCCGCACCACTCACCCGCTCTGCCGCACCACTCACCCGCTCTGCTGCACCACTCACCCGCTGTGCTGCACCACTCACCTGCTCTGCCGCACCACTCACCTGCTCTGCTGCACCACTCACCCGCTCTGCCGCACCACTCACCCGCTCTGCCGCACCACTCACCCGCTCTGCCGCACCACTCACCCGCTCTGCCGCACCACTCACCCGCTCTGCCGCACCACTCACCCGCTCTGCCGCACCACTCACCCGCTCTGCCGCACCACTCACCCGCTCTGCCGCACCACTCACCCGCTCTGCCGCACCACTCACCCGCTCTGCCGCACCACTCACCCGCTCTGCCGCACCACTCACCCGCTCTGCCGCACCACTCACCTGCTCTGCTGCACCACTCACCCGCTCTGCCGCACCACTCACCCGCTCTGCCGCACCACTCACCCGCTCTGCCGCACCACTCACCCGCTCTGCCGCACCACTCACCCGCTCTGCCGCACCACTCACCCGCTCTGCCGCACCACTCACCCGCTCTGCCGCACCACTCACCCGCTCTGCCGCACCACTCACCCGCTCTGCCGCACCACTCACCTGCTCTGCCGCACCACTCACCTGCTCTGCTGCACCACTCACCTGCTCTGCCGCACCACTCACCTGCTCTGCCGCACCACTCACCTGCTCTGCTGCACCACTCACCTGCTCTGCTGCACCACTCACCTGCTCTGCTGCACCACTCACCTGCTCTGCCGCACCACTCACCTGCTCTGCTGCACCACTCACCTGCTCTGCTGCACCACTCACCTGCTCTGCTGCACCACTCACCTGCTCTGCTGCACCACTCACCTGCTCTGCCGCACCACTCACCTGCTCTGCCGCACCACTCACCTGCTCTGCCGCACCACTCACCTGCTCTGCCGCACCACTCACCTGCTCTGCCGCACCACTCACCTGCTCTGCCGCACCACTCACCTGCTCTGCCGCACCACTCACCTGCTCTGCCGCACCACTCACCTGCTCTGCCGCACCACTCACCTGCTCTGCCGCACCACTCACCTGCTCTGCCGCACCACTCACCTGCTCTGCCGCACCACTCACCTGCTCTGCCGCACCACTCACCTGCTCTGCCGCACCACTCACCTGCTCTGCCGCACCACTCACCTGCTCTGCCGCACCACTCACCTGCTCTGCCGCACCACTCACCTGCTCTGCCGCACCACTCACCTGCTCTGCTGCACCACTCACCTGCTCTGCCACACCACTCACCTGCTCTGCCGCACCACTCACCTGCTCTGCTGCACCACTCACCTGCTCTGCCGCACCACTCACCTGCTCTGCCGCACCACTCACCTGCTCTGCCGCACCACTCACCTGCTCTGCTGCACCACTCACCTGCTCTGCCGCACCACTCACCTGCACTGCCACACCACTCACCTGCTCTGCCGCACAACTCACCTGCTCTGCTGCACCACTCACCTGCTCTGCCGCACCACTCACCTGCTCTGCTGCACCACTCACCTGCTCTGCCGCACCACTCACCTGCTCTGCCGCACCACTCACCTGCTCTGCCGCACCACTCACCTGCTCTGCCGCACCACTCACCTGCTCTGCCGCACCACTCACCTGCTCTGCCGCACCACTCACCTGCTCTGCCGCACCACTCACCTGCTCTGCCGCACCACTCACCTGCACTGCCGCACCACTCACCTGCTCTGCCGCACCACTCACCTGCTCTGCCGCACCACTCACCTGCTCTGCCGCACCACTCACCTGCTCTGCCGCTCCACTCACCTGCTCTGCCTCACCACTCACCTGCTCTGCCGCACCACTCACCTGCTCTGCCGCTCCACTCACCTGCTCTGCCGCACCACTCACCTGCTCTGCCGCACCACTCACCTGCTCTGCCGC